TGCAGCCTGCTAAGGTGCATTTTAAGCTGCTTAAGTACCCCATCCCACTCCCACAAATAATTATTCAAATGTGACTATCGAGTCATGATCATAACTAACCAAACACGGAGGCTCTCAACAATACAAGACCTTAAAAGGAGTCATGTGAATAGTCGAATGATGCGAAGTATTATACCAATACTCCGCCCAAGGAAGCCACTTGACCCATTCTTTCAGTCGAGATGAAGAGAAGCATTGCAGGTACGTCTCTAAACTTCGATTGCCAACTTTTCGTTGTCCGTCCATATGCTGGTGGTAAGTCGTGCTTCGCTTGAGCATGGTACCCTGGTTCCAGAATAATTCCTTCCAAAAGTGACTAAGAAACACTTTGTCTCGGTAAAAAAATAACTAATCAAGGAATCATGTGTAACCGTACAACCTCACCGATAAAGACCACGTACCGCTACCGAAGCCGATGTGAATGGGTGCTTAAGGAGAATAAAAATAGTCGACTTACTGAGACAGTCAACCACCACCAAGATGATGTTGTATCCGGTTGATTTTAGAAGACCCTCGATAAAGACAATGGTCACATCTTTCCAAATATGAACCGACAACTCCAAAGGCTGCAACAATCCAGCTGACGCTAAGTTTGAATATTTATTGCACTGACATACCCTACGGTCCACCACCAATTTCACCACATCCCTCTCAATGTCGTTCCAAAAGAACTCACGTGCTAACTATTATACGTCTTTTGGGATCTCTCATAATCCCTTGTTGCCCTAGCATAACATTCTTAGAGCAACCACGTAACCCAACTTGAAGTACTTGGAAGCACCAACCATCTTTTAAACCTAACAAGCTCATGAACCAACTCGTACCCCTCTGTTCCGTATGCTACAGTTTCAATTCTCCGATGAATAGCTAATATTTCGGGGTCTCGACTTAAATGTTGTAGCAAGTAGGCATGGTTGCTGGACATAGAAATCATGAGTTCTGCCAGCGTGACCCGCTCCCCTCATGAAGATAATGCATCGGCTACCCCATTTTTCTTTTCATGGCGATAAAGAATTTCAAAATCATACCCAGTCAACATGGAAATCCATAGCTGATGTTCTACCACCACTACTCGTTGTTCTAACAAGTGTTTCAAACTTTTTCCCAACACGTATAATTGCTATTTATGAACTGCCATAACAATTGCCATATGTTTCTGCTCATATACCGCCTTAAGTTGGTCCCGACTCCCTAACACCTAACTAAAATAAAACATCGTTCGACCTTTCTGCATCAGCGCCTCTCCTACTCTTTGCTCCTACTCTATGCCCTTGATGCATCATTTCAATGGTAAAATTTTTGGAAAATTTTGGTAAAGCCAAAACCCGTACCTGTGCCATCGCTTTCTTCCAGGCATGCATGGCCTCATCATTCCAACAAAATTTATCTTTTTAAAGGTCAATCAACACTTCAGAAATCCAGCCATAGCTATGTACACAATTTTAATAGTAGGTCGTTAAACCAAGAAACCCATGTAATTTCCGAACTGTCTTTGGAATCGGCCACTCGGTTATTCCCATGAACTTGCATGGATCAGTCATTACCCCATATTGGGCCATGATATGCCCCTAAATAATCCACCTGATCATGCCTAAATAGACATTTTTTTCGGTTACAAAACATGCTCTTGACTCGCATGCAGTAAAAAACGATCGAAGGGGCTCGTTGTGGTCTTCCATTGTTTTATTATAAACAAATATATCGTAAAAACAAGAAAATTTTTTCTAAGATACAATCCAAAAACCTTGTTCACGAGGGATTGAAAATGTTGATGGTGCATTCGTCAATCCGAACAGCATGAAGAGGAATTCACAATGTGATCAACGTAACAGTAAAAAGCTCTTGTTTAGAGAGAGTCGTATTCGAATTTTGGTTGAGAGGCATTCTCTCTTCGAGTTACGTCAAAGGTAGTTCGGTAAGCCTCGTCATCTAGTATGACTAAAGCATTAGCCGAATTGTGAAGGCCTTCCCACCACGCAAAGTTCAAACCTTGCCAAAGAGGAATTAAAAACTGGAAAAAAAGCCTTTTGCAATCAATGGTAAAAGCGGGGAAAAGATGAAGAAAACCTTTTTTTTCCTTTTTTTAGTAGACTTGAAAGGTGCTCTTAGTGTACTGCCATACGCACCCATAAATTAGACATTAGACCAAGCATGAACTAGGGATGTCCTTCATGGGTGTGGAATATCGTTTTCGGAATGTCCTCCGGTTTCATGCGAATCTGGTGGTACCCCGACTTCAATTCGAGTTTGCTAAATACTACAACCCCATGAAACTCATCTAGAAGTTCTTCAATAACTGGAATCGGAGACCGTTAACAAATGACTCCAACTATAATAATGTCGTCCACCGGTTGTTCAATCTCATCTTTTTGTGACTGTGGATATCGATAGGGTCTTATGTTGATAGGTTTGGTGCCCACCTTCAGATTGATGGCATGTTCATGGTCTTAGTGTAACGAGAAGACATCGGTGAAATTAGCTATAATATCATCTAGTGACGGGTGAACTTATGAGGACGATTGCTCTGTGCCCTCCATGTTGTTGATTTCTATTAGGATCCTATTGTCGAAACTTTGTAAGTCCTTGAGCAGTTCTTGTAAAGAGGTCTCAGAATGATTCAATCCGGGTTTGCCCCGAAGCATTATCTCAACCATTTAATTCATAATATTATGTTAGTACTACCGAGCTCTAGAGGGTAAAAATCATTTACTAGTTGATACACGACAACGCTAAGATAGCCGTCTGTTCCCAGGGTACAACAACCGTAACAGTGGTGTAGGAATTGTAGTAAAACATAGACACAAACTTGTAAGTCTTTCATGCTTATAAACCTTGTTGAGTTTGGTCTTTCTACCAATGTGGGACTCATTCCCACATTCATCTCTTTTTTCTAAATGTATTCTCAAATACCCTTCTTTGGGTATCGATATCTCATTCACATATACTCCATTTTAGACATATAATATATCGTTTCGAAGTTCTCGCGGAGAACACAAACCCACTTAGAATTAGTTATATATACAACATATGTATATATTTATATATGTCCAAAGTTAGTAAAAATATAAATATTTATACTAAATTTTCCACCAGTCCCACCAGTCACAAAGAGACAGGATATTGTGGGTAACCCCAATGTCAATAAGTACTACTAACTCCTGCTCGCCAATCCTACCCCATAATTTCATAGTGTGTGGTGTTGTGAACCCCACTATCGAACTTGCTGATACCTAGATGCACATACTCTTTTGTTTACTGTTCTTCATCTACTTCTTTGTCGATCAATAAGATTTGGAGGGTCTTACTGGGGCATTTACGAGCTGGTCCATATTTTTCTTCACATCAGAAACAGAGACCCTTGACCTATTTATAGGAAAACTCTATGTCATTCATTTATTGAATGTCGTGAGATTTTGGGTTCCCGTGGTATCGTTTTCTTTGGTCATCATATTCTGGATTGGGATCCAGACGGTCTTGATGGTCGGATGATTTCCTGTCGATTTTTGCACGGCCTGCCCAACCCCGCCTAATTAGCTCGAGTAGTTTTCATTGAATACTAAAGTTAGTTTAATCACTTTCCCTAGCCCATGGGTTGTAGTGTTCATATGGTTATTTCGTAATTCCGACTTGATCATGGAATTGGCTAAGCATTTTATTCGAATAGATATAGAACCGACATGGATGAATGTACCTTATAGTACCTGTTCTAAGATACCAACAACCTGGACGAAAAGCTGTTCAAAAGCTCCCACATAATCACGGATGGAACCGTTTTTATTAATGGCCAGAAATTTCTCGTAGAGATTACTTTCTCACGATGGTTGGAATCGGTTAAATAATCTTCTTCCCAACTGTGGAATGGTGTTCGCCGTTCACCCAACAATACCACGCTAATACTGGCCCTTCTAAACAGAACATTGCTACACGCATCTTCTCTAGTGGTGATATGAGCCCTTGAATCTTAAAGAATCTTTCACCTTATAAACCTATCCGAAAGTGTTTTCACCTTCAAACAATGACATCTTTAATTTCCTCAAAAAAATAATCCATCTTGAGGACCCATCCCCCCTGACCGTTGTTCATATTGACTATCGGTCCACTGTTAAAGGCGAATGTCCCACTTCCGCTGCTTCTAGATGTGTGTGCCTGTCTTTGCTAAACCAGGTTCCGCTCGTGTAATGTTGATGTTTCCTATCACTGGAGCCTGAATTGGAGGTGTACGATGATACAGGAAAACCTAGAACATCAACATGAACTCCGACGAAGTTATAGGTGGATTAAACCAATCACCACTGGTGACACTTCTCGCGAGTATCGTAGATGATATTGTCATTGTTAATCGATGCGGGGTTTGGATGATCGGTTGTGTCTGTGGTGGGGGTGAGACTTACAATTATGATACCTTCAATAGGAGCAATAGAAGCTCTGTGTGCGTGTCTCTAGTTAACGATTTCCTATCGCTTCTCCTTTTTTCATATGTTTGCCAACTCCTGTTCAATATGATCAAACCGATTGGATGACTATGTCGAAGTTGTTCCATATCTGCCTCCAAATCGGTGATCTTGTAAATGGTGCTCGAATCTACTATGGCGATTGCTTTGATACCAATTTGATAAGAAACGATTAGAAAATAACTCAATCTTAAGTTAATTCTTGAAAATAAAACAATAAAGGGCCTTATCTTTGAGACCCGAGAAAACTCCAACTAAACTGAAATCAAAACTTGTCCACCTCCTAGGGTCGACCCTTACCCTTATTCATTTAACCTTATTTACTATAATAAAAAACCTTCAATAAAAACCCTTAACATCAGATAACTACTATAATCAAATAAGATAACCAATATAAAGAAATCACATGAATTATAACAAATACATATGGGGGGAAATTGAACCAATTTTGCGTTTTTTTAGGCCCCACAAAAGCATCAAAAGTATGTTTCCCATGTGCTCGGTCTCCCGATGTCAAAAGTGGTTTGTAGGGTGAAGCGAATTGGCGGTGGATTTGGTGGGAAGGAGACGAGATCTGCTTTTTTTGCTGCGGTTGCGGCAGTCCCCGCATACATTTTGAACCGACCCGTAAAACTTACATTGGATAGGGATGTAGACATGATGATATCCGGTCAGCGACATAGTTTTCTTGGGAAATACAAGGTAACGTTTTTCATGATTTGAATGAATCGAAATTTTGGTTGATTATGTTTACTAACATGGGGGTATTTTGGTAAGTAGGTTGGGTTCACAAATAAAGGAGTGGTGGTTGCTTTAGATCTGGAAATCTATAACAACGGAGGGAATTCACTTGATTTGTCTCAATCGATACTTGAACGTGCAATGTATCATTCAAATAATGTTTATGAGATTCCAAATGTTAGAGTTTCCGGAAGTGTTTGTTTCACTAATTATCCTAGTAATACTGCTTTTAGAGGGTTTGGTGGGCCCCAAGGTATGTTGGTTGCTGAAAATTGGATCCAAAGAATTGCAATGGAAGTTAAGAAAAGTCCCGAAGAAATCAGAGTACGTTTATAAAATTGAATCTATATTCGTATGTGTCATATAATTAGGAAGAATTTTGTATATAACATTCTTAAACATCAAAATATCATATTTATCAGGTCTAATTTAATATATATCATATTTACCCTTTATAAATTTCAAAATATCATATTTGCCAAAATATTTATTTTTAGCATTTTTAATTTTTTTTTTAACAAATTTAAATTCTTATTTTTATCAATTGTGTATTATACCCTCTTATAAATTTATCATCTATTCTATAAACCTAACTCTTCCATACTTTCTTGAGATTTGGAGACGTGGCTATTTCTACTTTCTAGTCCATCTATGAACCGTATGGATTGAATTATAGCCTCCATCCATGTTGTACGGTAGTTACAGTCTTTTGTTTCAATGAAGGTGTAAGGATTATTGAAGAAGATTTAAGAAAATATAGAGATGAAAGTTGATTATGACGGAGGATGCAAGAAATCCAACGCCAAATTTTTAACATCAGAACGGGTGGTTGATTAAATGGTTTTGTTTGATTAAAATATCGATTAGGTTTATGGATTTTGAGGCTTAATTTGGTGACCAAATGAAAACTATTTGTTGCTGCACAAAAAAAGAGAAATATTGATGAGATGGAAACCAAATTAAATTTCAATTCATATTGGAGAAAAGTGTTTTAATAATAATAATAATAATAATAATAATAATAATAATAATAATGTAACTAACTAAAATAAAAACGTCCAACTGAATTAAAAACATCTACCGGTATATCTATTTAGATGGACTAGAAAGTAGAAACAATCCCGTCTCCAAATCTCAAAAAGATATGGAATAGATGAATTATTTTATAAGAGGATATTTTTTAAAAATAGGGATTTAAAATGATTAAAAATATATTTAAATATATTAAAAATAAGGATTTAAGGAATATATGATATTTTGAACTTTATAAAAAGGATAAATAAAGATAAATTGAATATATCTTTATATAATAAATTAAATATGATATCTAAAAGTTAGTCTTCTTAAATTATATTACTCATATAAGTATCCATTAATTCTATTTTAGGAAATGAATTTTATTGGTGATGGGTCGATATTACACTATGGTCAACAAATTCAAGGCTGTACTTTGCATCGGCTATGGGATGAACTCAAGAAATCTTGCAACTTCTTGAAAATTCGAAGTGAAGTTGATGAGTTTAATCTTCATAATCGATGGAAGAAACGTGGAATTGCTATGGTTCCAACTAAATTTGGTATTTCATTTACTACAAAGTTCATGAACCAGGTAATTTTGTTATTGAAATGATTAACTACTGTTTTTTTGTTTAAGATTTTAGTGTAAACATTTTTTTTTGTTCTTATTGGCTGCAGGCGGGTGCACTTGTTCAAGTGTATACAGATGGAACTGTGTTGGTGACACATGGTGGTGTTGAAATGGGTCAGGGTTTACATACAAAAGTTGCTCAAATTGCTGCTTCTGCCTTTGAAATCCCTCTTACTTCTGTATTTATTTCAGAAACAAGTACTGACAAGGTAACACAATATGATTACCAAACAAAAAACTTTAATTCTGATTCTATTTCCTTACATTTGTTAGGTTCCTAATGCGTCTCCAACAGCAGCTTCAGCCAGCTCGGATATGTATGGTGCAGCAGTTTTGGACGCGTGTAACCAAATAAAATCAAGAATGGAGCCGATTGCATCCATGAAACAACACACTTCTTTCAAGGAGGTATATATCAATCATCAACAACACTTTACAACAGAACAATTCATGATTATTCTCATTTTTTGACTTTTTGATTCGTTTTCAGTTGGTAAACACATGTTATTGTGAGCGTATAGATCTTTCTGCACACGGGTTTCACATCATCCCTGACATCGGTTTCGATTGGACAACCGGAAAAGGTCATCCATACAGGTACTTCACATACGGGGCTGCATTTTCCGAGGTTGAAATCGATACACTGACCGGAGATTTCCACACAAGGGCTGCTGATGTCATCTTGGACCTTGGATTCTCCATTAATCCAGCCATTGATGTTGGACAGGTACGTGTTAATTTACATTCTTGACCCTGATCTTCAAACGCTATAATCATATTTGTGTTTTTGATTTGCATACACAGATTGAAGGAGCATTTGTGCAAGGTATGGGATGGGTGGCTCTTGAGGAGTTGAAATGGGGAGATGAAGCTCATAAATGGATTCAACCTGGTTTCTTGTTTACATCTGGTCCTGGAAATTACAAGATTCCATCTGTTAATGATGTTCCTTTCAAATTCAAGGTTTCCCTATTGAAGGTACAACTTATTATACATATATACTTGTAAAAATCCAAACAAAAGAATGAATATCAATTGAATGTTTGTAAATTGTAATATATACAGGATGCTCCAAATGACAAGGCGATACATTCATCAAAAGCTGTTGGTGAACCTCCATTCTTTCTTGCTTCATCTGTGTTTTTTGCCATTAAAGATGCGATTATAGGTGCAAGAGCTGAATCAGGGTTTCATGGCTGGTTTCCTCTTGACAATCCTGCAACTCCTGAGAGAATCCGGATGGCTTGTGCTGATGACTTCACAGCTCCATTTGCCAAATCTGATTTTCGACCGAAACTTAGTGTTTAGGAAGGATTCCGTCAAGTTAACACATTACACGTAAGGTGGATGTTTGTTTTTCGTGCATAGTTACTACCTTTTTTTTTTTGTGATGGTTACTACTTTTTATATGGGTAGGTCTTGAGAAATTAGATATTCTTAAAGGTTTAGGAAATGAAAAAAAATATCCTTTATCTTTATTATAGTTTTTTATTTTTAAATAAAAATATATAATAAAAAAAATTGAATCCTATACAACTGCTCACTTTGCTCCTTCTCAACTTTGCTCATGATTTTTCTGTACATTAGTTTGTATATTTATATAAAAAATCTATTCTGATTAGCTTTTATGACTTGATGAAATGAATTAATGTAATGTTAGATATAATTTTTGATATGTTTGAAAGTCTTTCAATCCAACATCTTTAATGACAACTTTTTTTTTGGTATTTTTATGATGAATGTTCTTAATTGTAATATTGTAGCCGTTATTATGATAATGGTTGTGATATTCATGTATTACATGTATTAATTTTTTTTTAAGTTAAATATAAATGTTTAAATATTTAAGAATTTTGAATATATAAAAAATAATGAATTATTAAAATTGAAATGTTTTTTTTTTTTTTATCTTTTAAAGTTAAATAAATAAACAAAAGAAACTAATGCGTTTTAATTTAAGAATTTTAAAATTAGAAAGTAAATCCATTAATTAAATTGATATCCATTTATTATTATATTTAGACAAAACTTCAAAAATGATCCTTATGGTTTTCGAAAATATCAAGTTTAGTCCATAATTTCAAAAAACCTCACAGATGGTCCCTGTGGTTTCAAAACTTTTCACTAATGGTCATTTTTGTTAACTCCGTTAGCTTTTGGACGTTAAGTGAATGACATTTATGTCATTTCACTATTACAGGGACCATTTATGAATTTTTGCTTTATTTATTTAAAAAAATAAAAAAAAATAAAATTATTTAATATTAAATGCTCTCTCTCTCTCTCTCTGACCATTTTTTGGTGAGTGCTTTTCCATTGGTATCACCAACAACCACCGTTAGTCACCTCCACAACCACCATTAGCCACCACCTGAACCAACTCAAACAAAAACAAAACCAAAGAAAAACCTACAATCAAAATCAAACTTGTGTGCATTTTGGGCAGTAAAAATCGAACTGTAAACACTTTATCCACCACCTGCATCTAAAACCCACTACTACCTCAATTCATAATGCCTTATCACCACACTTCAAATTACCCACCAATGGATTTCTCAAATTTCAAAACCCATCAACAACAATCATTTCTCTATACAGGCTTATTCACATTTGATTTGATTTAGTGAAAACAACCCCAAGAAACGCACACACACAGATGATGGAGAAGGTGTATGTTAGTATGTAGCAATCGGAAATGACGTACAAGAAGGGTTAACAACTCTCAAATGGACACTAAGAAAATGGTCTTCTTCTCAAATCTCCATTTTTATCCTTCATCGAGATATCAACTGGGACTACGTTTACACATACTGTAAGTTCATCGCACAGTTCTTAATTTTGACTTTTTCTGTAACTGTTTGAGGTTATGATTTAGATGAGATTTTTCTTTCGAGCATTTCATCGAACATATGTTGTGCAAGACTCGTTTTCCCTTCTTTTATTAGTTTTATGCACATGTGTTGTATCCATCCTTGTCTTCAAATATTCAATTTAGTAAACATATGTTGATCTACGTCTTTAATCTAATTCCAAATTGTGAAACATCAAATATGAATTCGTGTTAAGAGATTTTGGGTTATTTTTGAAAAACGAAATTTGATTATGAATGAATCATGTATGAACTAGAATCAGTGGAAGTTGATATATTCAATGAAATTACCCAGGAGAACAAGTGAGTGAGGAACGGACAACCACGATCCAATAAGCAATGTTCGAATTAACTGGTCGATCTAATTTTGCAGGAATAATCATTGAACCGGTCGATATAGTTTCAATCCAGATCTGATATGCGAGCTCGAGACCATCAGATTAACTGAGAGCTGCCTTTATTGAGCTTACGATGATCAAGCTCTAGTCGACGGTGGCTCGTCTGCTTAGGTTCACGTGTAGGTGCAACAATCAGCAGTGGGGATTGGGAGGAGAGAGAGAGAGAGAGACCATTTAATATTAAATAATTATATATTTTTTCTTTTTTTATAAAAAAAATAATGCAAAACTTCATAAATAGTCCCTGTAATAGTGAAATGATAGAAATGCCCTTCACTTAACGGCCAAAAGCTAACGGAGTTAGCGAAAAGGACCATTTGTTAAAAGCTTTGAAACCACAAGGACCATCTGTGAGGTTTTTTGAAATTAGGGACTAAACTTGATATTTTTGGAAACCACAGGGACCATTTTTGAAGTTTTATCTTATATTTATTGTAATTATTACATTAATATTATGTTAATTTAATAAAACAAAAACTCATAAAATGACATGTGGAATAAAAAAATTAATTCAAAATAACGACAAAATGACATTTGACATATTGAATGAGAGTGTGACATGCGACAAAAAAACTTCATTTATCATAGTAGACTTGTGAATTTTAAGTAAATCATCAAGGAAAAATACTATTACAATTTTATACTTGTAATGACAAATTACAAAGATAACTTAAAAGTGGAACTAGACGTTCAATACTACTAGGGTAAATCTATATGCATTCCCCTTATTAGAGGTTGACCCCTTTTAATTTTTCGTGTTTTTTTAGTCTATTTTGTGTAACATCCCAAATTTCAAAAATAATATTTATAAAAAGAATTTTTAGATTTTTTTTTTCTCATTTTACAATTTTTTTGATCTTCAAGATGAGCGACTAAGATCGTGTCCCCATGTCTCACAAAATTAGCATGGTCTCAAATGAATCTCTCTTTCTCTCTCTCTCTCTCTCTCTCTCTCTCTCTTTCTCTATATATATATATATATATATATATATATATATATATATATATATATAAAACGGGAAAACAAACTCATGTTATATCTCAAAAGCTATAATTATATCCTGCTAAGCAAGTCTGAAAAACATAAGAAAATAGATGATCAAACAAACATAATCAACTAATAAATCAGGTACAGTAAGGCGGAATGAATACCTTAATTGGACCAAACATTTCATTGAACGCCTTATATGAATGTTTCTTATCCAAAATCCACTTCCCAAAACTATAGTTAGGAATTCCTCCCATTCCTTATGTTCAATCACATGATTCTTCAAGTATGACAGTTGCAAAGCCGAAAGACCAACATGTAGCTGTAGCGCTCGAGATTTATGAGGTATTAAATTTGTAATTATTTAAGGAAAATAATTTTATGAGTTTGGACTTGGGCCTTTGGGCCTTCATGATAAGGCCGATGACGGGCGAACGCGGGGCGTAACCCCTATGTACGCCTAGCATAATCAAGGATCCAAGACGCGAGCTTAACCGCGTACGCCCAACGTACCAAAGGGTACTCGCAACATACACGCGTAATGTCTTAAACCCTAATTTTGGGGATTTATCTCTATATAAAGGATGTTATGACCTTGGACCAACCTCCCTAACTCCCTTAAGCAGTCATCTCGAAAACCCTAACCTACTTTTGTGTGTTCTTAGCTATTGGAGAGCATTTGGTGTAGTTTTGGGGGCATTGGAAGAAAAAGGAAGTTGAAGAAGGAGCAAGGATCCACCAAGAGCTTGTAGATCTAGAAGAGTATAACAGTTTCTGACTTAGTTAAGGTATCAAGTTCCAAACTTGGCCATTATCTTCTTAGATTTGTTGTTGGGAGTGTTTAAAGTTACTTTTGGACTCCATTATTAAGAGTTATTGCATCTTGAAGACTTCAGACCATAATACCTGTCCTTTTGGGCTCCTAGAGGCACTAGGAGTCATAAAAATCAGATCTTGATGGTTAAGCAACAACCATGCAAAGGTTAGTGAGTTTTGGGGCTAGTTAGATGGACCAAAGTCATGTTTTGACCCCAACCTTGCATGCATGCACATAAAGTTCATGACTTTATGGTTTAAGATGTCTTAAAAGACCTGGATCTACAGTTTGGACAAAAAGACTTACTGGATTAAGTAAAAAATTAAGCTTTTAGGGAACTGGCCAGTATGCTGGGCGTACTCCCCGGCTATTGAGGCCATGGCATGGTCAGATTTCGTGATCCGGTTCAGGGCAGAGTTCGGACCCACAGTAGAGCTTCAACAACTGACCTAGGAGTTCCTTGACATGAAACAGACGACCGAGACAGTGGCAGAGATCACTACTAAGTTCCGGGAGATTGCTTTATTGGTGCCCTAGTACGTAGGAGACGAGGATATAAGGAGGACCCGATACCATGACATGCTGCGAGCCGATATCCGGGAGCATGTCAATTTTTCAGCTTGTCCGACTCTATATTCCATGATTGCCAGGGCAAGGAAGATAATGATTCATTTGGAGCACATAAGGAAGAGGAAGGTAGAGGAGGAGCATATGGTTGGGGCTTTGGGGAAGAAGCCAAAGGGATCAGACACGGGGTCGAAAGGCCCACAGAGTCGAGGATGCTGCAGGAAATGCGCCAAGGCACATGAGGGGGTTTGTAGGTTGGGATCGTCTGGCTACTACAAGTGTGGCAAGGCGGGGCATCTCATCAAGGATTGTATCGACCCTACGCCCACTTTTCAGACATCAGATTTGCTATGTTTCCACTGCAACTAACAGGGCCACAAAAGGGCCAATTGTCCCCAGTTGACAGCAGCAGTGCCGGTGAAGGCGCCTACTCCAGCGACCCTACGGATTACAGATGGACGGCAGGTTAAGGTGGAGGCTCCAGTGGTGAGGAGCCGAGCCTTCCAGTTGACTATCGAGGAAGCACGCGCCGCACCCGATGTGGTGACGGGTATGATTCTTTCCCCCCCGATATATTTATATGCTACTTATGTTATTTATATGTGTTCTGTGTATATATGTTTAGGATCGTTCCATGTGAAAGGTATCTTAGTACAAGTGTTGTTTGAC